CTGTCAGCGAGCCATCGACACCCCAACAGGGTGACCAAAGCAGTCACTCACCACTGTAGTCCTATGTCATCGACTGGATATTGACCCTTTAAGGTTAAGGTGTCACCATCACTATGCACCAGCAATAGGTGCAAGATTACTGTATGTTTGGTTACTGCGTGGAGAGGAGAATGTAGAGGTGGACCCCACTGTTGTTTCATCTGACGCACCGAAGTGCGCCATGCGTGTTCTCTTTGAGAGTTGAGACCATCATTTGAGAGTCAGACCATCATCAATTAGAGGCACAGCACCAATACTGCGATTTAACACTAACCCTCGCTGTCAATCCAGGTGATCTTGCTTGGCGCACTACGAATGTTTCTAGCAAGGAGCCATGCTGCTAAAATGCCGATACTACCACCGATCGGTAACTGATGCAGCTTTTGGACTGCCACAACCATTTCACCTGGCCACTCAGATCTCCGACATGGGATGATGTGCTCAAAGTAGCAAATGACACCCTGTGCTACTTTCCTTTCTTTTTTGTTTGTTTGTCAACCTGCACCTGGTTCGCAAACTCTCTCCCTGTACTGTACGCTACAGACAACCTGTGCTACCTCTCTCTCTTTTTTTCACCTCTCTTGTTTGTTTCTTCCTCTCTTCCTGGTCCATTCTTTTCATACCTCACTTATTTCATACGAGGTGTGCCCCAGCTGTTTCTGCCCCATTATTTTAGTTTTAAACCCCCGCAGGTCTCTGTGCTCGGTAAGTCTTTAGGACACCTACGTGTTTCTTCTAGCGCACAATTTCATTTTTAATAATTGGACTTTTATCAAATTTCGCGCTTCGTGTATTGATTGGCTACTGCTCTTTATTTATTTTGATTTGCATAATACCTGGTATGCGTTAGCGGGAACAGCTGTTCCCACAACTTTATTTTTTGCTTTTTTTTTCTCAGGTCGGTGGGAATATAGTTTAAGTGGGGCACAGCACCCATTTCGTAATGAAACACTCGCCCTTGCTCCAGGTTGGTTGTTTAGACCACTGCTACCGCTTTATTATCGTTTCCTTATTGGGGTGTTTTGTCCCAGAAAATGGCTGCCTGTATTGACGAATTGTAGGAAGACTGTCTCTGCGCTTGTTGTTAATATTGTTACGGGGAGAAGGCGTCTGAAAAATGTCTTTACTTTCGGTAAACAGGCAGGCATACAATATGGAGCCCGGTCTGCACGAGCTCGCCCTAAACATCGTCCTCTTTTCTACAATGTTCATTTGTGGCGCCCCGTAGCATCACCCCCGGCGGCGAAGGCACCGTCTTGGTGCCTGGTTGGTCTGAGTAATATCGTTTCAGGCGAGTGACGTGAACAACGTCAGAACACGATCGCGCGCTGGTGGCGTTAAGAGGTTCAATTTCATATGTCACGTTGGTGACTTGGCGCACCACACGGTACGGACCCGAGTACGGTGAAGCCAGTTTTTCGCACAGGCCAACTCGCCGCGATGGCGTCCAGAGAAGGACTGTGTCACCTTGACTGAAGTGGACATCACGATGGCACGCGTTGTAGACCTGTCGTTGCCGTTCCTGGGAATCGCTCAGACGCTGGCGAGCAATCTCACGTGCCTCTAGAGCTCTAGAAATCACATCGCGGGCATATTCTGACGTGTGGCCAACGGCAGGAAGGAGCGTGTCGAAAGGCAACGTAGGTTCTCGTCCGTACAGGAGGAAAAATGGCGAGAAACCTGCAGTGTCATGCCGAGACGTATTATAGGCAAATGTTACAAATGGAAGGGCGGTGTCCCAGTCACGATGGTCGGAAGAAACATACATGGCGAGCATGTCCGTGATGGTTCTATTCAGCCGCTCCGTGAGCCCGTTGGTTTGAGGATGATACGCCGTCGTGAACTTGTGCTTTGTAGCGCAAGAGTGCAATATGTCTTGGATAACTTGTGATAAAAAGTAGCGAGCCCGATCGGTAAGCAGTTGCCGAGGAGCGCCGTGGTGTAATATGACGTCTTCTAGAAGAAAGTCAGCGACGTCGGTCGCACAACTGGTAGGAAGGGCCCGTGTGATGGCATACCGAGTGGTGTAATCCGTGGCGACTGCTATCCACTTGTTTCCGCTGGCCGATAAAGGAAACGTTCCTAGTAAGTCAACACCTATCCTATAAAATGGTTCGGATGGGATCTGAATGGGTTGAAGGTGTCCCGCTTTAAGTGTTGCTGGTTTTTTGCGGTGTTGACAGGATTTGCATGAGGCGACGTAACGGCAGACGGATCGGTAAATACCGGGCCAAAAAAAGCGACGTCGAACGCGGTCATAAGTTCTTGAAACTCCCAGGTGACCAGCTGTCGGAATATCATGCAGCTGTGCAAGGACAGTCTGACGCATATGTTGTGGTATGACCAACAGCAGCTCAGGTCCGTCAGGATGCATGCTGTAGCGATATAAGACGCCATCTTGGAGCAGGAACATACGGAGAAACGGAGGAGTTGTGGGACCACTAAGCCGAAGGATTATATCTCCGAGGTGAGGATCACGGCGTTGCTGATCTCCGATGTTGCTAAACGCGGAAAGTGCCAAAACGCAAGTAGCGTCATCGCTCTCAGAAAGGTCTGCTGGGTCTACTGGATGACGCGACAAGCAATCAGCATCCTCATGGTGGCGACCTGATTTGTAGACAACCGTGTAGGAATATTCCTGTAGCCGTAGAGCCCACCGGCCGAGACGTCCACAAGGATCTTTTAAGGACGACAACCAGCATAAGGCGTGGTGATCAGTGACAACCGTGAACGGGCGTCCATACAAATACGGCCGAAATTTAGCCACTGCCCAGACGAGTGCGAGGCATTCGCGTTCTGTGATGGAGTAATTTCGCTCTGCTGGCGATAAAAGACGGCTAGCGTATGCAATAACGCGCTCGCAGCCATGCTGTCGTTGTGCCAAAACGGCTCCGATTCCGTGGCCGCTGGCGTCGGTACGCACTTCCGTTGGAGCGCATATATCAAAGTGGCCGAGAATCGGTGGCGTCGTAAGTCTACTCGTCAGTTCAACGAATGCTCTGGTTTGTTCAGGTCCCCACACAAAAGTCACATTTTTTTTAGTAGTTCCGTGAGTGGTCGTGCGACATCAGCAAAATTCCGCACAAATCTACGAAAGTAAGAACAAAGGCCCACAAAGCTTCGAACATCGTTCGCAGAGGTCGGCACAGGGAAATCTTTGACGGCACGGATTTTTTCAGGATCGGGACGAACACCAGAAGAATCGACAAGGTGTCCAAGGACAGTGAGCTGCCGGCGGCCGAAGTGACATTTGGACGAGTTTAGTTGGAGCCCTGCTTTGCGGAAAACCGAAAGAATTGTTGAGAGACGCTCGAGGTGAGTTTCGAAAGTTGGCGAAAAAACAATGACGTCATCAAGGTAACATAAGCAGATTGACCACTTGAAACCGTGAAGAAGAGCGTCCATCATTCGTTCGAATGTAGCTGGGGCATTGCATAACCCGAACGGCATTACTTTGAACTGATAGAGCCCGTCGGGAGTTATAAATGCCGTCTTTTCACGGTCCAGATCATCAAATGATATCTGCCAGTACCCGGAACGGAGGTCGATGGAAGAGAAATAATTTGCTCCACTAAGGCAGTCAAGAGCGTCGTCTATCCGCGGCAGAGGATACACGTCTTTTTTTGTAACCTTGTTAAGATTTCTGTAGTCGACACAGAAGCGCCAGCTGTTATCCTTCTTTCTCACAAGCACAGCGGGCGAAGCCCAAGGACTTGAAGAAGGTTCAATGATGTCTCGGGCAAGCATCTTGTCCACTTCTTGCTGGATCACGTGGCGCTCGGTGGAGGAAACTCGATAGGGTCGCCGGTGTACTGGATTTGCGTCACCGGTGTTGATCCGATGCTTTACGACGGTCGTTTGACCTAGGGGTCGGTCGCAGAAATCAAAGACGTCTTGATACGACGCAAGAAGGCCACGAAGCGCAGACACATGCTCTGCCGGGAGATCAGAGGCAATCATTCCAGTTATGCAGTCTAGTGTACTATGCGTCTGAATACTTGCAGATGACAGTGTATCCTCTGTTAGGGCCGATATGTGGTAGTCGCCGGCCGGGGCAAGGGTTGCAAGGGATAATCCTCTTGGCAGCACTTCAGGGCAAAGTCCAAAGTTTACAATAGGGAGACATGCCACGTTGTTCTTCATTGTGATGATGGTGTGGGGGAACGTAACATTGAGCGAACAGAGTACTGTAGGATTAGGCGAAATGACATAATCGCCGTCAGCCACAGGTGGATCAGAAGAGACGTCGATATACGTCACAGCTCGACAAGATAGGCGAACAAAGTCGGCGGAGCATAGCTTTGGCAGCGCAGGATCAGGAGGGTCAACGGCGTGTGGTAGGACGAGCTGAACAACACCAGCAGAACAGTCAATAAGGGCGGAATGCTCCGACAGAAAATCGAGTCCCAGTATGATGTCATGTGGGCAGTGGTCCAGTACGTAAAACAGAACAGTGGTATGACGTCCAGCAACAGTGACACGGGCGGCACACATCCCGGTGACCGCTGGTGTTGCACCATCAGCTACTCGGACAAGAGTGATCGGAGCAGGAGTGAGCACTTTCTTGAGTCGAGCACAAAGGTTGGAGTTCATGACTGATATGTGAGCGCCGGTGTCAATGAGTGCTGCCACAGAAGTACCGTCAACATTTACTTTAATCAAGTTGTTGTGTCCGGGTATCGTTTGTAGAGGAATTTTGGGTCGGGTCGTCGAAGCAGGCTCACCTCTAGGAGCTGCGCCCGTCAGTTTTCCGAGGACTGGTGGTAGGAGGGTGAGGGGGAGCGACGTCGGTTAGTTGAGCGGGACATGCGTCCAGAGGGCGACGGGGAGCGGCTTGGTCGGGCGGGCCTGGATCGCGAAGCATCATCTTGTGCCGTGTAGATCGGCGTCCGAGAGCCAGAAGGGGGGCGTCGGGTGTTGGCATAATGCGACCATGGCTGCCAACCCCAGGAAGTGCGGCAATGACGTGAAATATGGCCCACTCGTCCACAGTTGAAGCAGATCGGCCTGTCATCGGAAGTTCGCCATTCTGCCGGGTTCCGGTAACGTGGGTGGTTGTTCAGTCCGCGGGACATATTAGGTGTACTGGGCAGTCGGTAGTCAGGTCGGTTAACGGGGCATAGCGTCTGAAGTCCGGCGTTGGCCAGTTCCTGGCGTACGACACTCTTGATTAAAGAAATCATGGCGCGAGAATCGTCAGGGGCCTCGACTTGGTCAGACAGGGGAGATGCTGCCTCGATTTCGTGGCGCACAATGTGCACGATATTGTCGGAAACAGCAGGGGCTGGTGCCAAACGGGCGTCCTCGCAGGTTGATGTTGCAGCCGTGTTGGGAAGACGTGAAAAGTGTGGAGTGATACGGCGACTTTTCGCGTCTTCGAAGCGTCGGCATTCTTTAATAACGTCGTCTATGGTAGATGAGTTGCGAAATACGAGGAGATTAAAGGCGTCATCGGTGATTCCTTTGAGGATGTGCGCGACCTTTTCAGATTCCGGCATCTTGTCATCAACCTTCCGGCAGAGGGCGAGCACATGCTGTATGTATGTGACGTACGACTCGGTGCCGGACTGGAGTCGGGACGCTAGTTCTTTTTGCGCAGCACGACGACGCCCGATGGGCTTGCCGAAGAGATCGATGAGTTTCTGCTTACAGATGTCCCAACTCGTGATATCTTCCTCGTGGTTGGAAAACCAAACTTTAGCTGTACCGTCAAGGTAGAGAATAATATTGGCCAACATGAGCGTCGGATCCCAGTTGTAAAGAGCGCTCACCCTTTCATACAGCTGAAGCCATTCCTCCACGTCGGTACTGTCACTGCCCGAAAATGTGCCTGGGTCACGCGGTTGAGTCAGGACGACGGTGCGGTTAGTTGCAGCTGGATGCGGTGCTGTTGGTTGCTGCGTAGTTGGACGAAGCACGGTTGGGGTAGTCTCCGAAGAATCCTCGTGTTCGTCTTGATCAGGCATCACACAGGCAGCCAAGGAACGTCCGCTGCGTAGAATCGTCGTGGTGTTGACTGTGGAAAGACCCGCACTCTCCACCAAAATGTTACGGGGAGAAGGCGTCTGAAAAATGCCTTTACTTTCGGTAAACAGGCAGGCATACAATATGGAGCCCGGTCTGCACGAGCTCGCCCTAAACATCGTCCTCTTTTCTACAATGTTAATTTGTGGCGCCCCGTAGCAATATCATTTTACTGCTTTTCGAAAATATAGAGTTAAATCCCGTGCCTAACTCTGATAAGGTCCTGGTGACGGTGCTAGCGACCATTCAAAGAATTGAATCAGGCCAGTACAGCATTCGGAAAGATCTTCATGCATTGAAAAAACTGACATTCGTTTATCTACGTAGACTTAAAGCAGTTGGCAGCCAAACTTCGTACACTCGAGGTTGACCCCGAAACGATCAAAACGAGCCAATCGGAGCCTTCAGAAAAAAAGTTCATTTTTTGAGCTTCTAGGGTAAAACCCAGAAAACACGTCTAGAAAAATCCTCATAGAAAAAATCTGATATCTCGTTTATTTGTTCCTGAAGTACAACAGAACGTATTTAGAACAAGTTGCTGTGGTAGAGATGTGCATATAAAGAGTACAATTCGTATGATATATGATAGAGTGCTTTTCTTAATAGATATTAGCAGCCCGCCAGTGTGATGGCTCAGCACCTATGAAAATCAAAAATACTATTTTTTCGCCTCATGAGGCTAAGTCTGATGCCGCATTTTGAACAAATGAAGAAATCGAGAATATCATCACTTGCCGAACTGTTCTTGTGGCACAGCCGCTGGTTCATTCCCAGTGGGTAATTCTGAACATCATATTTTCTGACGTCATCATTGAGCTCCCTTAGTGGAACTCTCTTGTATTTAGGATACAGTTTATGGCAAGCATGACCAGCGTTCTATTTTCGTCTTTCCATACAGCATCAGGCACTTTGACAGCACAGTGATGAACACACGCAGCTTCATTGGCTTGGAGTGCGCGTTGAAGTAACGCCCACTGTATCAAATATGCTATGGGCGAAATTACTTGGCTTAGCAGAGTCCCAAGCTACCGCACATCCTAAAAAAATTGTACCTAGCGATCAGATAATGCATGAATATTAAAAGTTTCCGGAATGTTTCAGAAACCGTATAGGTCACAATTAAATTTTCTTGTGTAAAACTTTCGCGTTGGAGTTTCGTCGCGTGCGGTGCTCGAGGCGGTCATCTTTGATAGTGAGCTAGCGGCGCTCTGGCGGCAAGAATTAGAAGCACGGAGATTCTTAAACACTCTTTAATGTCCCCTAAACGCCACAAACTAGCTTTCGCTTTTTGAGTTTAGGTTTTTAGCAGCGGGCCTGGATTCGAAGTTGCCATTACAAATATGGTACGCTGGGTGTTGTGGCATTGAAAAGTATCGAATCTACGACACCTAAAATCGACTCCGGCACTCAACTTTGCTTTTTTTCAGTATAACTGAAACGCATGACGAAAACTGGTTGTTTGTGGGGGGGGGGGGGGGGGAGGATACAATTGCATATTGAACGCTCACATCGCCTACGAAAGTACAACGCTGACAAGTGCCGACCAATTATACCTAAATTTACACTTTTTTAGAAAAAAACCACGCGTCTTCGAAAATGGCTTCCAGCTGACAGGCAGCAAACTGGCAGTACGTGAACACTTCTCTCTGCAGACACGAGTGCTAAGAAGAACTTGTGCGATTTTGAAAAATCAAAGAGCACGACGTACAAACGGAATCTCTATAAACTGCAAATGGACAACTTATTTTTTATGATGTCATGTCATGCTCGGTTGTTCAATTTGCACTATAGCTGGCACGAGATCATTCAGCAAATGTTAAATATTTTTCGCAGCTACAGTGTCAGAAGAATAAACTGCAACGCTTATCTTTCGCCTACGTAGCATTCTATCATAACGAATTGAGCGGAAATTCTATCTTGAAAACTCTGACTGCGATCTGCTATCTTCAACAGAAACTTGGCTTCATTCGGGAGTTTCAGATCAAGAGATTGTACCGGATTCTAGCGACTAAACGGTACATCGAAAAGATCATGAAGGTAAAAAGGGGGGTGGTGTATTATTTTTCATTAGAAACCGCATAACATCATTTATTGTAGACATTCCCAGCCCGCTGGAGATTTTATGGGTTTGCATCACTTCATCCTTAACCAATTCACTAGTTTGAGTTTGTTACTGACGACCAGACTGTCCTTCTTCTTTCATTATTGACTTGCGCGCCAATCAGGACGCTATTCCAAAAAAAAATTCCTAATTGAACTGTTTTGTTAGCGGGTGATTTCTATTACCCTGACATTATTTGGCCCTTTTTAGTTTGCAGTTCTCGATCCTCGAGAACAAATTTCATTAAACCTATCTTCGACCATTCCTTATTACAGTTAGCCGACCAACCGACCTGAGAAACTAACAACCTCTATCTTATTCAGGCATCGAATCCCCAGGTTACTAGTGCCGTTTCTATGCCTGATGGTTTCAGTGACGACGAAAGCTTGAACTATTATCATTCCTTCGCATTCAAGAGCTGTTACTCCTAAACGCAGCTTTCATTATAAAAAATCCGTTATTACTGTCATTAACTCTGGTCTCCAGACGTTCAGCGATAAAATCCTGCCCAATTTTGCTTCCCGCGTCCTTGACGAAATACGCAAAGGCCCGTTGCCGGGCTAGCTGGTTGGAGTTGATCATTCATATGAGTATAGCGCACCACGACAAGGACACAAAAAGAGGGAGACACACAGCGCTGTGTGTGTGTGTCTCTCTCTCTTGTGTACTTTTCATGGTGCGCTATACTCATATGAATGATGAACCTTGACGAAAATTTGACAACTTTCAAACACAAGCTACTGGCACTAATGCAAGCACATGTAACGTTGATTTCTTTTCTAATTAACGTATCAAAGACATGGTATCACACATCGTTGCGAGCTTTACAAAATAAAAATAAACGCCTTTTCAAAACAGTTTAAGCCACTAAAAACTCCTGCACATTCGACAAAAGGAAAATCCTAAGAAAGCACTTATTGTCGGCTGTTCGCAAAGCTAAGAACAAATTTTTTTCGCGTGCTCTACGGTTTCTGATAAAAAATAATCCCAAAAATTTTGGCATGCAACTTCCCCGCCTTCCCCTCTGAATAATAAAGCTCTCCAAGACGGAAATGGTATTTTGTTAGAAAAAAAAATGCGTCACAGTTTTTGGCAAATATTTTACACCGGTACTCCTAAAACGATAATACTCTGAAGTTCCTACTGTTACTGATGTCACTTACAAATATGTATCAAGTATCGCATGTGCGATAAAAAACTACGGTATCTACTAACTCTGGCAAAGATGGTATCAACCCTAAAGTTTTCAGAATGATCAATATTCCATCGAGTTCAATTCTTCATCACATCTTTGATGAATCATTGTCCACTGGTACGCTTCCACAAGATTGGAAAATCGGCAAGGGGCCACCTATCTTCAAAATCTGTACACAAAAATAATACAGATAAATATCGCCCTATATCCCTCAACAGCATTCCTTGTAAAGTACTTCAACATAGTATTGCCTATAATATTGGCCACATTTAGAAAAATTGCCGTTAGTCGTTCCTCCAACAGCATGGCTTCAGAAAGGGTCTGTCTTGTGAAACTCAGATACTATATTTCACCCATGACCTTCATTCTGATGTGGATGGTAACACGCAGACAGATTACATTTATATCTATTTTTCTAAAGCATTCGACCATGTCACACATTGTGGTTTAATTACTAGGCTTTCTTCCTAAATCTTGATTATCTATCTATCTTGGCTCTAAAACTTTCTGTCATCCCGCTAACAGGTAATGACAATGACGTTACTTCGGGAGTTCTTCAGGGCAGCTTCCCGGGTTCTTTGTTAGTCCTCATCTACACTATTGATCTTCCATCTTATTGAACATCCGGTTGTTCGCCGATGATTACATCGTATGCTGCAATATTATAACTCCCGCAGATCATCTGGCACTACAACAGAATCTCGACTTGATCACAATCTAGTGCTCAAAGCGGCACATGACAGTTAACACCGTAAAATGCAAACTAATGACGTTCAGCTGAAAGCATGCAAACTCGATATACACATATTCTCTTAACAATAAACCTATTTTGGCAACAGACAAGTACCTTGGCACTAATTCACTCCGAATCTACCCTGGTCAGCATGCATTGGAAAAATTACTGCCACAGCATCACGCACACTCGGATACGTTTACCTGAAACGTAATTTCTATATGGCGTAATTCATTACACGTAAACTAGCATATCAAACATTAGTTATCCCACAACTAGAATATGCGTCTTCCATCTGGTCACCTCACCGAGCCTATATAATTGAAGTACTAGAATCTGTCAAAAACCACGCTGCAAGTTTCATTGCGCGCAACTATACAATAACCATTTAAGTGTAACTAACATAAAGGCATCGTTATCCGTACCATTCCTGGCATTGTCCAGGAAGATAAACACTGTGTGTTCATTCCACAAAGTCATCTACAGCACACACATGAATACATTGCCTTTATTAAAACCCCATTGGGCATCTCGCAGGCTTTGTAATCAGCATAGCTTTCCTCGTAGTTTCGGCCGCACGCAAGCCTTTAGCGTTTCTTCTCCAACGCGTGCCATTGCTTAATGGCATCATCGTCCTTATACTATTGTGTCTATTCGTGATCACTTGACGTTTAGAAATAAAATT